CTCTTCATTTCATAAATTACGGTTTCATATTTTTAATTGTATAATTTCTGCATGCCATCTTAACAGATTTAAATTAGAAAAACCCCTAATCCGGAATCCCCGAAGTCCCGACTAGTCCGGATTATGGACTTTGTTCTGTATATACTACTATACTATATATATACTATACTAAAATACTACACTATACTATATATATTTATACTCTTAATTGACTTTAATTTTAATTCTAGCCTTTACTTGATAATGTTAGGTTTGGAGGCAACTTCCCCTTAATAGTCTGTCTCTTGCATGCTCAACAATTATTCACTTATGCATTTTTATAAATTTTTAGGATTAAAAAATTTATTGGAATTATATATTTATTCATAGATTTTGATACTTGCACTTGATTTACATATGCTCTCAGGATTTGAATGATATTGTAGATTAGTTCGCAGCAATAATTAATCATTTATTTGTAATTCAATTTCTTTTAAAATTTAATTAACTTTAAATTTGCTTTTTACGAATAGAGAAAGTTTGTTAAATTCAAATGTCATTCCTTGCAGCAATGGCACAAGATAATTTTTTTAATTTAATTTAACTTTACTATATTCTTTTGAAACAAATATAGATATATATATATATAATATGTATGTGTATGTAATTACAAAACAATTTTTTTTTAAAATACAATATATAATCTTGCCTAGCATTTTTGTGCATTAAACTGCATATATATATGTAATAAAATGACTTGTTGAAACTAAGTTGCAACGGATTAACAGTGGTTTTCTGCATTATAACATGAAAAGAAAGTACTACATAGAAAGATGACACTAAAAGATTGATGTGGCCGCTGATTTTGAAAATATAATTTTATTCCTTGATAATGCACATCATCACAGTGGGTGCACTATTTACCCCCCAATTTTATACAGCTTACATCTCAAACAATGGATGAAATTAGAAAAGTAAAACTAGTGGCAAGGCAACCCAGCAAAAAGAGAGAGTTATGACGCGATTGACCTTTTATTTACCAGATTACATTTCAGATCATGACAGTTTAATGTCCAGATGTCCGGCTTAGATTTCATCGATAAGTGTACATCAAAATTTCAGGAAGTTTAGTTACAAAAATTATTGCTCTGTTATTTAGAATGGAAATGGAAGTTAAAGGGCTATTATTAATTTATTATTTGAAATGTAGATATTTTATATTTTACATATTCCCCCCGCCTTCCAAGAAGAAAATGGCTGGGTGAGAGAAAAGCTTTTTTACAGAGAAAATGCTAAAGCATTAGGAAATGAAGAAAATTAATTTCAAAAATACAAATCCTGAAATTTTTGAGCAAATTAATTATTTACATAACTGCAAAATATAAACCTTGATAATATTTTAGTTAATAATTATTAAAATATTACATTTGAAAATTATTAAAATGTTCAGTCCAAAAGTCTTTGTGTTTTACAGTCCACATAATTAGATTTTGCTTTGCTGGCTTTGCAAAGCTTTGTACACAATATCACAATTTACAAAAATTTTGCACAAACATTACTTATTTTGAATAATCACAACAAATTTCAAAATGTTAAAAACATAATTGATTTTCATTATTATAACTTATATTTTGACATCATAAATTTTATAATAGTATTACTAAAATTATGGTTTTCACTGTTATAGTTAGATTTCTAATTTTCTTATTTTATAAATAATCTCTGAGATAGCAACAAGTTAAATATTTATTTGAAACAAGAGGAAGAATGTAATATTAAATATCATACCATTATTATGCCTATCCGTCAAAAGAAATATAGCATGCATAAACAGTACCAAACATAAGGGCCAGTTCAGAAATTTCCACAGTAAACTACACTACAGAGGCTGTTTGCACATTTTTTAGACGAACAGAAATATATTACCCAAAATTTTTATGTTTTAAATGTTCTATTTCATAATCCTTATTCTTCACTATCTTTCTACACCACAATTTCAAAGACAAACCTTCTGTAGAGTCGAAAGTTTCATCCCATTGCTCATGAACAGCTTTCTAAAGTCTAAAGAGGTTGTAGGTCGAGGCTTGGACAGCCTGCCTTTTTAAAAGTCAAAACCGCAAAAATACATTGGTGACAAATCAGGAGATTTAGTAGGGATGTAAGTAAAAGGTATAGCCTTGATACCCATTTTTTTCCGGAAATTAACAGTGTATTTTGATGTGTCACTGCTTGCTTGGTCTTGATGCAGTTCAACTGATTGATCACACTGTGTGTCCAGAGAAGGTATTTCATATTTGAAAATTGGGTATAAAATATGTTTTGATAATATGTGGAGTTGATCTTAACATTTTTCTTCACTCTCTTTATTTTTAATTTGCCATTTTATGAAAACCCAGCAACAATCATAAATTCCTTAGAAAAACATTCTTTAGATTCCTTGAACCATGTTTTAAGAGTTTTTTCTCCTCTTTTATGATAATATATAGATTTCTTCTTACTGCAATCATTTAAATACGTCCAAGATTCATCTATTGTGACAACTTTTTCAATTTTTGTCCAGATTGTTTCTCATAAAGAATTCTGCAATGGGCAATGAGAAAGACTATGTACATTATATTTTTCGCCTTTTCCAGATTCAAATCAGCATTAATCATTCTGTTTAACATTACAGTTGACATTAAGCATTTTAATGATTCTGCAACTGTCCTTTGGCTTGGCTGATTTACTTTAACATTAACTACCTTACTTTTACAACATTCCAAACATTTCGTTTTCTCTTTTGGAACAATTTTCCCACTTGAAGTTAAATTTTGACTTCGTTTTTCTTTTGTTTATCGTTGACAACAATATCTATCACAGCTTTTAGATATTGAAAAACCATAGCTTTCACAACATTTTTTAATAACTAGATATGGACAGACGGGTTAAAAAAAACATAAACATAGCCTTCCATTCATCTCTTCTTCAAAGTGACATTTCGCATGAAAACAAAACTGTCAAGGAGAGATGATAATTTATATTTTAAAAAATAAAAAAAATTTTACAAGCAGAAGAATTTTATTTTATTTTTTTATTTTTATTTATTTTTATTCCAGCAAAGCAAAATCATCTAAAAAATGTGTGAATAGCCTCTGTACATGCTATACTATACAAGTCTAACATCTGGACTTTGGATCTTTACATTAAAAGTAAAAAAAAGGTGGGAGATGTCAAACACACATTTTTTCCCTGGACTAACCAAAATTACTACATGTCACTTTCAAACACCTGCTGGCTAGGGAATCACAAAGAGGACAATAACATGTTGATCATCCTTACAGTGATGTTGGATGTAATCACCCTTTTGGTCCTTCAGTGGGTGTAAGGGTATTAATCTAAATGACCTAACCAGTAAGTCAAATGCCCAATTTTGCCATATCTAAAAGTCATTATACAAGATTTAAATTAATAATCTAAAATCTGGAATCACTGAAGTTTTGATGATTCTGGATCCCAGAGAATTTCAGTGCAATAAAAAAAAATGAAATATGGAAGACAAAATTGCCCCCCCCCCCCCCCGAAAAAAGATTATTTTATTTCCATTTAAGATGTGTGGCTAAAGAAAAGAACATAAAAAATTTTCTTTTATTATCTCTTGATAAAAACATTTATTCATAATAGTTCACAATTCAAAAAGCAAAATTTTTGTATTTTTTGGTTATAAAAACACTATTTAATGCCAAACATAAACACTAGGTAGAAAATCTAAGTATACAACCCTGATGATGAAATGAATGGCCAGCTTCATGAAAAATATGGTCATTTCACTAAATGTAAAAAAAAGATAAATATGGAAATTCATAAACAGAATGCACTTAATTACTCCAATCAACATTTATACAGTAACTCATTCTTAGAGTTGACAGAATTCTATTAATATAAGCTGTCACCAAAGGTCAATAAAATTGAATAGCTTTTAAAAAAAGAATACAGAAGCTTTAATTTTCATCATATAAATTTTGTTGCAGCCAGCATCATTTTAATTAAAATATATTTTTACTACACTAACATACAATTCTAAAAGCTATGATCTATAATGCACTATGTGTTGCAAGAAAATGCATCTTCTACTAATTGATATGAAAACAGTAATTTCTAGCCCCCCCCCAAATAAGTGTGCATATCCTCCCTACTTTTCAGATTTCTCTCCCTGTTATTACTTTCACTTCCTAACATTAGTGCTGCCTTTTAAAGTTTTTCCTTCTCTCTTTTTTTTTTTTTTTTAAAACACTGAAGAGATCCAAAGATTTGTCACTTTTAATATTCAAGCCCAGAGCCAGATTCAGACTTGATAAGGCCCTAAGCTATTCGAGATATGGGGCCCTTTATATAAGTAGTCTGTTATTATAATATATTTTTTTAATACTATTTATACTATATTTTAATTTTTTTGGTGGGGCCCCAAGAAAATGGGGCCCTGTAGTATAGTTTGTGTAGCTTATACGTAAATCCGCCTCTGTTCAAGCCATAACAAAAACAGAATTCTTTGAGTTTTTTCCTTAGATTATTTAATTATGCCATTGCCTGCATTACCTGCATGCACAGAACTGCATTTCTGACAACATAAATTAGTGTAACTTCTAAACTTTTATGATTAAAAAATTACTCTTATCATTTAATTTTGATAGTATGTATAACATAGTATGTAGTATATCACTAGGTTGTTACGAGTATGGTATACCATATGCAAGGCAAACTTGATCTGATATAGTAACAATTATATTTAAAGATGAATTTTAATTTGATGAAGCAAAGGAAACAGAACAGCTTCTAATTACCCACAATAATGTACTGTTATTGTAAGAAGTACAATAATTATTTTGAAACTTTTAATAGTATGTTTTACGAATATGAAATACCAATCTTTATATTAATGCTTTTTAGTAAAATAAGCAAAACCCATGAATTTCTTGAAAGTACTTCATTTTTTACGTCTCTGCTTCATCTGGAATAATTGCACACATAATAAAATACATAATTACCTTTTTTGGAAACAGAGTGATAACACATAATCAGAATTGCTCTCCCTCAATAGGTACATGCCATCCCGACAACCTCGGTCCCACAGGATCCACTCAGCAGTCTCCCTCGATATGCTGCCATAGTAATAAAGCATGGATTCCACAGGTACTGGTAAAACTGTCACATCTATAGGAGTATTATTTTCAGTCATGGTAGTCACATCTTTGCAACAAAAACCGAGCAGGGATGCCAAGCGCGATATTGCATTATATCCTGTTTTGACCCTGTAAGAGAAAAGTCAACAGCAATCAGTAATGCTTTTAACAAATATTACATTTTATAGAATGAAATAATTCCTTAAAAATAAATACAAAGAAAGTTAAATTTTTCAGACTACATAAATGCTTCAACTTTTCATGTAAATAAACTTTGAATTCTTCAGTTACTAAATTATGTTACCAAACAAAAGAAATGTGCAGCTATTTAAGTATGGGTGGCAAAAATCACAGCATAAAAAATTTTCACAATTTAAAATTGTTATAGAACACTTATGCTCGCTACCATTAGTCACCCAACACAGAACAAAATACCAGCACTTGGTCATTTTTGTAGTTTCTCACAGGTTTAAAAATATAACCACATACACATATATTCATAATATGAAATATTTTACAGAAGATGCATTAGAATCAACTAGCATTTATAGCAATAAATATTATTAGTATTCATATAATTAATTATAATAATTCAGGGAAGTTAATAATGTATGAAAATTAGAATGCTCTAAAATAAGCATCCATACTTTGGCCTACTAAATCTTGAAGGTCCTGTTGATTCCATCTTAAACGGATTACATTCCACATTATATACAGGACAAAGTCCGAGATGCAGACGTCCAACCCCTTAATTTTTTTTTAAGGAATTTTTCTTTAAATATGCTTTATGCATGTGCATTTGATTTTTTACCCCATAATAAAACCATGTGGAGGGTCCCAATTCTTAATTTCACTTTGGCACTTAATAAAATACCTCATTATTGAAGAATCATTTTAGCATAAATCTGTGTGATCAATAATTTGACTCCATAGCTGCATATCTGATTGGCATACATTTCAAAACTGAAACACTGTACACAGAAATATAATTGATTTTACACCTTCTAATATTTTATATCCATGATGGCAACCTGGCGAATCATTATTTATTATATTTTGCTTTCCTCACCGCATGCTTATCCAACAAATGCATGCTTATCCTACATGACAACTTAAGGTAATGACTCATGCAGCAATGCTTAAACAATGTTTTTTTATATTAGTAATTGAATAATAAAGAGTATCTTCTTCTTCTTCAATGGCCAGAGAAAAAAGGAGTCCTATACACAAAAAAGGAGACAGGATGGGCCCTTGCCTTCCTCAGAATCAAATTCCAAGCTCTTCTATCCCTGGCCATGGACATCCAATTGGTTATTTTTTAAATTCTTAAGTCTATTTTCCAAACAGTCGAACCACCTAAGTTTAGGTCTTCCTCTTTTTCGGGTGCCGAATGGTCTGGCTGAGAAGATCTTTTTAGTTACTCAATTTTCATCCATTCTGCACAGGTGTCATGCCCATTTAATTCTCTGATTCCTTATATATTTTACTATATCTATTTCTTTTAAAGATTTATAGAGTTCAGAGTTAGTTCTTCTTCTACAGACATTGTTAGATTTTATGCCACCAAAAATTCTTCTAAAAATTTTTCTTTCAAAGACAGAATGATACTTTTAGCTTTTTCTGCCATTGCCCAGGTCTCATCAATGTAAGAATGGGTCTGATTAAGCTTTTGTAAATTAAAATCTTCGTATTTCTGCTAGTGAAGTTAGACTTCCAAGTATTTTTTGAGACCAGAAAAACATAGTTTAGCATCTGTGATTCTACTATGGATTTCAGGCATTAAACCATTGAGAGTAGTATTAACTTCTGATCCTAAATATTTATAATTTGCTAACAGTTTCAAATTTGTAATTCCCAATTTCAAAATACGGGCTGCTGCTATTACCACATGGCATGTATTTAGTTTTATTTTGGTTGATTGCTAGATGCATTTTGCTGGCTGCAGCCTCTAAAGATGTAAATGCCTCTCTAAGTGACTCGAGAGTGGTCGATATCGTCAGCAAATGCAAAAATCTGAATAGACTTGTTGAATATAGTTCCACAAGTATTAATGTTGGAGTCTTTTATGATTTTTTTTTTTTTTTTTTTTTTTTTTTTTTTTTGCAGGGCAAGGTTAAAAAGCAAGCAGGCCAGTGCATCACCCTGTCCCAGCCTATTTGAAACAACAACAGGCTCAGTAAGATTATTCTAGATTTTAACCCTAAGTTTTGTTTCAGTAAGAGTAATGGTGACCAAATTTATAAGTTTTTCAGGTATTGCAAATTCTCTCATATCTTAAAATCAACAAAAATGTGTGTTGCAATGCCATATTCATTAGTTTTTTCCAAAATTTGTTCTGCTGTAGATCTTCCTCTGTACATTGGTAATCACCTACAAAATTTTCTGTATAAGTTACTAGTCTACTAAAAAGTACATTGGAAAATAGTTTGTAAAAAACACAAAAGAGACCAATTTGCCTGTAGTTGGTACATTCCAAAATGTCTCCTTTTTTGTGTATAGGACAGATGATGCTCAGTTACCAATCTCCAGGTAAAACTTCTTGGTTTCAAACTGATTTGATGAGGGATGTATTTTCTCCATGTTTTGACGTGCAGCACTTTTAATAAGTTCTGAAGTAATTAAGTCAGGACCTGGGACATTGTTATTTTTGAGCTTTTTAATTCCTTCTCTGCCAAAGATGGTGGCAGGATACTATCGGTGTTTACAGAGGTAGTTAGGAAGGTTGAAGACCCATCTCGCATATGGTCATTCAACAAGATACTAAAGTGCTCATTCCACCTATGAAGTACCTCTTTTCTATCATTTAGGATGATGTTGTTTTTGTCTCTACAGGCAGTGGTTCTAGGTTTAAAATCTTTGCAGCCAAGATTAATTTCACAATAGAAAGCACCGCTCAGATGTTCAACATCCTTAAATGGATTGGCATGAAAAAGCCTTTTCTTAAGCCAATGGATCTTCTTCTCCGGTATTCTAGATATCTTATATTCCTCAACAGTGAGTCTTGAACGTAGCTTTTGGAACATATTTTTATAAGCAGCTCTTTTTGCTTGTGTTACAAGGAAGCATTCATTATCAAACCAATCCCTTAATTTGGGTTTTTCCATACATCCCAGTGTGTTGTCAGCAGAGTGTATGATCAAGTCTCCACTTATTTTCCACGGTTTTCAGTTCGGCTATGTTTTTAGATCTTAGTTCTCCTGAGTGAGGACTGGAAATTTCGTTCAACTGCCTCATTTTTCAGCTTTTCACAATCAAACTTTTTTTGCCTCTCTCCCTGTATTTTTCAGGCATTTGAAATTTTAGCAATTAGTTTAGCAATAACCAAAAAGAGGTCAGAATCACAGGTGGTGCTCTCGATAAGTTCTAACATCCTGGATATCCGAAGAATGCCCAGAATCGATGAGTACATGATCAATTTCATTCCAGGTTCCTCCATCAGGTGAGTGCTAAGTCACCTTATGTATTCTCTTGTGGCTGAACACAGTGCTTGAAATTATCATGTTGGGTTCAGCAGCAAAAAGTACTAGTCATTGTCCAAAAGTTCCTCATAAAAAATTTCCTTCTCATCCTCTTCCTTGCCTTCTGTAGGTGCATGTCCATTGATAATACTATAATTAAAAAACTTTTCCCTTAGCTGAATTTTGCAAAGTCGGGGTGATTTAGGAACAAAATCAATCACTAAGCATTTTAAACTTTTGTTGAATAAGAAACCTGTACAAAAACATGTTTTTCCACATCACAGTTATAGTAAATCGTGTGATTTCTTTTCTCAATGGTACCTCCCCCAAGCCATCGCATTTCTTGAATGGCAAGTTCATCCATATCATATTTGTCAAATTCCTCTATAAGAAATTGCAATCTCCTACTGTAGTACAGTATTTGGACATTCCAGGTTCCAAAACGAAAAGTCCTTAGGCCATTTCCAAGTCATTTTCTAGTAGAAGCAGTCCAGCTAATTCTATCTTTGGATTTCTTAACAGTTAGATTTTTTACAGCATGGGGTAGTTGGCCACATGCCCAATCCCCAACCTGGAGGACCAGTCCCCTGATATAATCCCCAAGGGCAGGGTGCCCGGCTATTCCCCCAGATGTTGGGTACCCATTTTAGTCACCTTTTATGACATGCATGAGCTACATTGGGACTATTCTTTCACACCCGGTCAATAACAAAGAGTATGGTTACAGATTTAAGTTGAATGCGCTAAGAAATGTTGACGAGGAAAAATCTAATAAAAATTTCTTTCCATATGCTAAAAATAGACTTTGTTAATGGTACTCATAGGCCAAGAATTACAGAAGCTCCGAGCAACAAAATTAAGGGATAAAATTTTTAGAATTTAGAAAAAAGCACCAGGACCCAAAATTTGGGGAGTCAATTTGGGTGCTTGGTAGCAGAATTTAGAACCCGCAGATACTGCATCAGGCAGTAAGATGTCTAGTCCCTCCATCGATAAGCCTTAAGTATATGTGGGAATTTATTTACTCGGGACTGAGCTTTAAGCATGTGCAAGAAATAGATGCGAGGTATAATAAATAATTAAGCTTATAAAATAACTAAACTTGTACAATTCAGGCTTAATTGTCTCAGTGCGCAATAGAAGCAAGACAAAACTTAGCAAAATGACTTGTCTTTCGTTGCCAGTCTCATGAAATGGAGCCAATAATGTATAGCCGATGCTGTTAAGCTAGGCTAAAATTATACCTTACTGATTCCAAAGAAATTTCAGTTAATATAGCAGATTGCACTATTTCTTAAGTTTCCGCTTTGACACAGCTTATTATTTTTGCAAACTGCTGTTATTACAGTAATTTTATGAAAATTAAAGCATGAAATTTTGAAGAAGAACATCAAGAAGAGTTTCTAATTCTGGAGCTGCAACAGGATCTACAAAGCGATAGCATGTTTCAATGTCCATTAAACAAAAAGTGGAATTGCTGAAGAAAAAAAGGGAGGATAAAGGTTTATCTGTCTCAAAATTATGTGAGGCATTGGAAAGTTAACTGTATATGACACTTCACTTGAATGTTTTAGTGAAAGATAATGTATCCATATTATTCTTTCCTCCAAATTGTACATCTATCACTCAGCCTATGAATATCAGAATACTGTGCGCTCTGAAATGCAAATA